AAATTCATTGATGAATCACAATCACGAAGAATTCTGGACAAACTCAAGCAATTAGATGATACCAATAACAATGTCTACAACATTATTTCACCTGCTGAATTGGCGATTTTGAATTAACAATAATACAATCTGGTTAAGGTAGTCCTTTTAATTATACTTTTTATTCCTATATCATCTGTGACGATATTTCAATATTTGATCTTGTAGAAATGTATTTTCGAGTTTATATATATTTATTCACTAGTTCATCTGATTTGCATATGCACTGACAATTTGAGCCATATTATATTTGCTACACTTAGGGAGTTCTCTGAGTATAAAGAGAGCAGTCATGTGGTTTGAAGCTTAGTACTGTGGTAGATTTTGCTTTGAAAAGCAGCTGGACGTTTTGGGCGTTGTCTGATGGTTACATGTGGTCGGGCACTCCGTGGCAATGGGTTGCACCCGTTTTCAAGATACTTTCACATCTTTGCCTTCCTCCTGTCCGAAAGTCGACTGGCTTTGTACACCGGCATCTACGAACGCACCAACGGAAAAGATTGTGAATTGGTCGATTAAACTACCTGAAAATCACAGCAACCTTGACTAGTGTACGCCGCCTCTACGAAACCAAGTATACGCTAAGAAGTTCTACAGCCTACTTCGTTTCCAGTGTGAACAATGAACTGACTGTAGTTAAGTAATTTACGTATAGCAAATGACATTTATGCCCACCATTTTACGTTAACTACCACAGTGCTCAGCATATTTGTATTTAAGTATTTAGCGCTTATTATGTAATTAATTTTTGAGTAGATTATTATAGTTGATTGATGTTCTGTAGACGCGAACCATACATCTCTCTGGTATTGCATATATATATATTCTATCTAACTTCAATAAACGAGTACGTTCTATTCACGCATATATGTAACTCTGGTTTGTTTTGTCGATTGTTTGAATCACTCTGATTGACTGGGGGCTCGTTGAGCTACACTTGCCTCTTCCCCATGTGACGGTAGCACGTGACACTGACATATCATGTAAACTTCTCAATTGTTTAAGCAAAGAAAAGGTTATTACACTTCCGGTCATCACAAACATGACTCACTAGAATAGAGTAACATGTTTGTATTATAAACAGTACATTTTATATTGTAATAATTGTCAAATCAAAGAACAAAGATCTAGATTCCTTGCAGCTCTATACATCTATAGCATTTTAGCATGGATGAATTATTTCATAGTGTTGTTTCAATTAATCATTCTTTAATTTTTGCAAAATTTATCTTCTATATTCTTGATATGTTTCAGTTCTGTAAGTTTTGTTGTCATGAATGTTGTTTTGTTCTTGTTATTGTTATTATTGGACATTACTCAAGGTTTCTTTGGTACTGTAAAATGACTAATTTTCACTGGGTTTAAATTTCACTGATTTACCATTTCAGGCATATTCAGTGAGTTTTAAATTCACGGTTTCGTCATTTAGATAATGTGTTTTATGCTAAATTTTACATATTCACTGTGTTTTAATTTAGCGCATTTTTCCAGTCAGCGAAATAAGCTAAATTAAAACCCAGTGAATAATTACCCCTTTTACAGTACCTAGTTCCAAAATTACATTCTATCTTATCATATCTTAGCTTATCTATGTTTCTAGGACATCAAGAGAAAACACAAATCTACCACAGAATCAACTTGATAGGGGTAGATCATAGCATACACCCATTTCATTCACCAGAAATTGTT